GGCCCAGCCAGGGGGGCTCCTCGGTGGTGGCTCCGTGGCAGAGCTCCGGGGCTGGGGCGGCAGAGCTGGGGGTCCCGGGGGGTCCTGGGGTGGGGGGGTGCCAGCCCCTCGGGGCTGGGGCTGCCGCAGGGGGCTGGAGTTGCCATGGCCAGGATGCGGGTGCCCACGGGGAAGCCAGAACTCGTACTCGATGCCAGGGTTGGGCTCCTGCAGTAGGACCTGCACAGGCAGGGGCAGAGCTAAGGGGAGTGATGGGGGACGGGGAACGGCTGCCCCTGTCCCTGCACCAGCCCTGCCCTCACCATCACTTGCAGATCCTCATCGGTGGGGCCAGGGGCCTCCAGGCTTTCGGTGCCATCGGGGGTCCGGGTGTAGCGTACCCGGGTGCCGGCTGCTTCGTACTGCCCCGGCCAGGCGATGGACCAGTCCCCATTGAGCACATAGCGCCCATCGCTCGTCATCAGGGCTGCGGGAGGGAGCGTGTCCGAGTCCCAAGCACCGCATGGGCCCTGGGACCCCTGCACTGGGCAATGGCTGGGTCCCCAACGAAGGCCTCTCCCCGAGCAGGGAGGGCAGCGTGGGCTGGGAGAGCTGCGGTCGGGGCTTACGAGAAGTCTGCTTTCTTGTGAGATCTTGGCTTTCATCCCGAGCCAAACCCTGGTGTGCAAACTGCCCCTGAGCCCCGGGGCCTGGTCCCGGGGGGGGGGGACAGGGACCCAACTGCACTGAGGGGGGGGGACCAGGGGGTCTGGGGATCCCAGTCCTGGCCCTGCTCCAGCTCAGCCTCTGGAAGACTGCCCCAAGTGTTCATTGGAATGTCCATTGAACCTGCATCTGAGTGGGAGAACCGCAGGGAACGGCACAGAGCGGCCACCCCCTGCCCTGCCTTCACTGCACCCATGGGCAGCACCAACCAGGGCTGACTGGGACGGACTGGGACAAAGACAGGATGCGTCCTACCGAGGTAGTTGCGGCTCTTGTCCGTCACCTTGATGTGGCTGGCCCCAGCTGGGATCCTGGTCACATTCATGTACCCAAAATAACCTGGGCAGATGGGGCAGAGTCAGGGCAGAGCTGGGGCATGGCCTGAGGGGACAGCCCAGGGATGGGGCAGGAGGGGACTGGGCACAGAGCAGCTCTGGGACTTGGGCAGCCCCAACCCTGTCCCAGGCACCAGCAGCGTCAACCCAGTTGGGCCTCACATGCTGGGACATCTGGGGCACCCAGCAATGGCCCTGGAGGAGCCAAGGTGCCACATGGGGCTGTCTGCCCTCATGGGCATCATCATCCCCACGGCCTGGCCAGGCACCCCATGAACCCTGGAGATGGGCACATGGATCCTGGGTGCTGCCTGGGACCCCTGAACATCCCTGGGGACCCCATGGACCACAGAGGTGCCCCAAAGATCTGCCCCAGAGGAGCGATACCCCCTGCAGTGAGGCAAAATCACCCCAGTAAGGGGTCTCCTTGGAGCCAACTGCCCTGTGCCCACATGTCAGGGACAGGAAGGGATTGGGAACAACACACCCATGGTGACTGGGGAGATGGAGAGGAGATGGGGGTGACGGGACCCAGGCAATGCCCTGGGGACACAGGCAGGGGACAGGAGGACAGGGGAGCCAAGAACCAAAGCATTCACCCATGGAGGGGGCCGGGGCAATGGTTCATTCACCGGAGGAGGTGTCCTCGCCCTGGAAGAGCCGGTGCACGAAGAGACACGCGTCACGGCCACTGCTGCACGGCCCGCAGGTATCCGGCCGCACGCCCGAGCCCAGGATCCCATCGCAGCCCACACTCTGCAAGCAGCCGAGACACGGCCTCAAGGAGGGGGCTCAGGGCTGGGGGTCCCCAGGGGTCCTGGCCCCATGAACCCACCAGGCAGCGCCCGCTGACGCAGAGGTCCGGAGAGCCGGGGCCGCAGCGGGTGCCATCCAGCACCCGGCCGAAGGTGTAGTAGAAGTTGTGCCCCACAGCCAAGCAGTTCAGGTCACAGACGTTGGGGGCTGATGGAGGAGGGTGGGAAGAGGAGAGGGTGATGCTGATGGCAGCCGTGGCCCCTTGTCAACCTGGTGATACTGCCGCCCGGCCCCGGGACTCACCTCCATGGAAGGGCACCCACTGGTACCGGGCTGATGTGCCCAGGATGGGCTTGTTGTCGTAGAGAGAGCACTGCATGGCGCGGAAGGGCACCGAGCCGCTGGGGCAGCCCTATGGGAGCGGCAGGATGGAGCCCCACCGGACCAGGACTGGGGCTGGCCATGCCGGTGCGCAGCCCTCACAACGCTCACCTGGAGCTGGCAGAGCCGGTACTGCCGCGGGTCGCCCGTGCACGGCTCCTCCTCGCTGGATCTGCGGCCACAGCATCAGCAAGGCAGGGCCCGGGCCCGGGCTCCCCGAGCAGCCTCGCTGCACCCCGGGCCCCCCTCCCTTCCTGCGGGAGCCAGGATGCCGCTGAGCCACAGCGGGACCGGGAGGGACGCGTCCCCATGGGGGAGCAGGAGCAGGGACCACGACATCCCGCATGGAGCCGCATCCTCCCGGAGCGGCACCAGGAAGGAGGCACCGGGGTCCGGCTCCGCCCGCCCCCTCCAGAATCAGGCTCGGATTTGGCCAGGACGTGTGCGGGGCAGTGGCGGAGCCATGCCGCGGGGTTTGGGCGCCCTGCGGGGTTGGCTGCTGCGAGGGATGCCCCGGAGGGACCGCGCTGCCCCGTCCCGCACTCACCGCAGGCACCTCCGAGTACGGAGGGCGACTCCGTCCCCGCAGGAGCTGGAGCAGGAGCTCCAGGGTCCCCAGGGCCCCCAGGCACCGGGGTCCAGCTGCCAGCGGGACCAAGCAGGGGCTGGGGGCTTGAAGACCTGCGCCGGCATCCCCAGGGCTGGGCTCTGCGCGGAGGAAGGAATCAGCGCCGGGGCCGGGATCGAGCGGCCTGGGGGCTGCTGCCGAGCACCCCTCGCCCCTCACCTGCGCGATGCCGAGGCCGCTGAGCCAGGCCAGGAGCAGCAGCCACCAGCATCTGCGGGAGCGTCAGGGAGAGCCTGAGCCCACCGCGCCCCGGGACCAGCGCAGGGGAGAGGGGGGACCCCCATGCGTGTCCCGTCCCCCCCCCCCCCTCACCAAGGGGGACCCCAGCGAGGGGAAAGGATGCGGCAAGAGCGGAGCAGACCCAGCGGGAGGGCCCATGCGGGAGCGGGGGAGCAGCGCCGCGTCCCGCACACGTGCCCCGCGTGACGACGGGAACGGCGGAGCCGGGACAGGACCAGACCTGCGCGGCGGGGCCGGGGCTCCGCGCTCCCTGATCCGGATCCGGCCCCGCCGTGGGGAGAGCACCGGGGGAGGGCAGCGCTGCCCCCCCCCACACCCCCCCCGCGCCCCAAAGCGCCTTGCCCTGGAGCACCCCCAACCCGCACAGCGCAGGGGTGCGGGGGGTGCCGGCTGCGCCCGTTTCCTCCCTCCCCCGGGAATCCCGCTCTCTGGGTCCTCTCCCCCCCCGGCAGGGCAGGGATCGGGGGTTCACGGTGCCGCCGCCCCGAGGCGATGTCCGGGTGATGTCCAGCCCCCGGCAGTGGCCGGGAGGCTCCGAGTGCCTCAGTTTCCCCACCGGAGCGGAGCTGCCCCGGGGCTGGGCGGGGAGGGAGGTGTGGGGGTTCCCTTGGGGGTCCACGAGGGGTGAAGCGGGAATCGGGACCTTACCCGGCACCGCGGCGTCCCCGACAGCCCCGCCCGGCCATGCCGCCCCTCGTCCGGGGCGTCCCGGCGCTCGGTCCCGTTCCGGAGGCAGGGAGGGGGGACCCGGGACGATCGGGCATCGCCTGCGCAGCTCCGGGGAACGGGGGGGTGTGGGGGGGTGGCGGGCGAGGCTTCCCCCCCCCGCCCCGTTCTCCTCCCGTCCCTCCCTGCTGCGTTATTAATATCCAGCCCCAAAAGGTGCGCCGAGCCCTCCCCAGCCGCCCGTTAACCCTTCGAGGCCCGGAGCTGCGGCGGTCGAGGGGGGCTGGTGGGGTCTCGGGGGGTGCGGATGCTCCTCTGTACCCTCTGCTCCCCCAAGGGATGTCACCACCCTCAGCTGCAGAGGGGAAGGGGCAGATGGGAGCTTTCCCCCGGCCTCATCCTGATCGGGGACCCTCCGAATACCCCCTGATTCTGAGCATCTCCGGGAGGGGTTTGGAACCCACCGGGGGTCCCTGCTTAGCGCTCCGTAGATGCAGCAGGATCTGCTGGGCTGTGCGGGGGGGGCTGGCAGAGCTCGGGGTGCTGGGTGTCATCGTCCCCCCCCAGCACCCTTTGGGCAGCAAGGGCAGCCCCAGGCACCCGCAGCCCAGAGCCGAAGGGGTTACAGTGCTGGGGTGCGGAAGTCCCTTGGGGTTTCCCCACTGCAAGGCAGAGCAAAGTGAGCTGGATGATGGCTTCGGGGCGCGCAGGGAATGAGCTCCCTGGATGGTGCATTGAGGATGCCGGCAGCGGGATGCTCTACAAGCGGGGACGGCTCCTGGGAGAGGTAAATCCCTTATCAGCCCTGCTCCAGCCCTGCCCCTGCACCCCGAGACAGCCCCTTACCCTGGCCAGACCGCCTACATCTTGTGGTCAGGGTCATCCCCAGGATGTCCTGCTCCGAGGGGGACCCATCACTTCCCCTCTGGGGAAGGGGGAACTGAGGCAGCGTGGAGATGCTGTGATTAAGCCATTGCCTGGGGTCTGCATTGCTTCTGCCTTGGCTTGCCCCGGGGTGCTGAGCTGCTCACTCCTGTCCTTGCAGGGCGCCTTTGGGTGCTGCTACCAGCTGACGGAGGTGGCCAGCGGCAGGGTGTATGCAGCTAAGGTCATCCCGCGAGCCCATCTCGCTGCAGTGGGCGTCAGAGAGAGGGTGAGTCCAAGGAGGGGGGACAGAATGTCCTGCAGAGCCCCACAGCCCTGCCCTTGCCCCTTCTCCCTTGGTCCCTGTTGCTGGGTGGGTCCCCATCCCCATTTCCCAAGGATGCGTGTGGGGGATCCATCCCGGATCCAGACGCTCCCGGGGGGGCTGCTGGGCTCCTGCCAATGCAGGTGGAGCGGGAGCAGGAGCTGCACGGCCGCCTGCACCACCGGCACATTGCCTGCCTCCATGGGCACTTCGCTGACCAGCGCCACGTCTACCTGCTGCTGGAGTACTGCAGCCGGAGGGTGAGCAAGCACCAGCACCCCAAAACAGAGCATCCCCATGCCAGGGCTTTACCAGGCCCCACACTGGCACCTTGGTCTGTCCCCAGTCCCTCGCTGACATCCTGTGGGCCCGGGGGAGGCTGACGGAGCCGGAGGTGAGATACTACCTGCTGCAGGTCATCTCAGGGCTGCGCTACCTCCACGGAGAGGGCATCGTCCACCGGGACCTCAAGCTGAGTATGTGGGGCAGCGCTGGGGGGGCAGGAGGGAGACCCACACCTGCGCTTACCCAGGCTCACCTCCCTCTGCAGGCAACTTCTTGGTGACCAAGAAGATGCAGGTGAAGATCGGGGACCTGGGGCTGGCGCGGCTGAAGGCTCCGGCTGGTCAACGCTGGGGGTGAGCGGGGCCATGGTGCTGCTGGGGCAGGTAGGGGGGGTCACTGCCAGGCTGGGGTTTACCTTGCTTGCTCCCCAGGGCGCTCTGTGGGACACCCAGCTTCCTGGCCCCGGAGGTGTTGGACCGCAAGGGACACGGGGTGCCCTCGGATGTGTGGGCCCTGGGCTGTGCCATGTAAGCAGGGACCTGGAGGGCGGGGTGATGGGTGATGGGTGCTCCCGGCTGCACTGAGCACCCTGACCCCCCCCCCAGGTACATGGCGCTGACAGGGAGCCCCCCATTTGAGGCGGCTCAGCGGCAGGAGCTCTTCTGCCACATCCGGGCTGCCCGGTACCCGCAGCCGAGCCGGCTCTCAGCCCATGCCCAGGCTCTCATCGCCCGCCTGCTGGCCCCCGAGCCCGCAGCACGGCCCAGCCTGCAGGATGTGCTGGACCACGGCTTCTTCACCCAGGTGTGGGGCCGGTGCAGGGCATGGCCACGGTGGGGATGGGCCAGGGGTTCACTGCCTCTCGCTCCCCAGGGCTTCACACCCCAGAGGCTGCCAGCCCGCGCCTGCCACTCGGTGCCCATCTTCCTGGCACAGGCCCTGCCGTGCAGGCTGCGGCGGCGGCTGTGCCAGGAGCACCAGGGAGCACGGCGCTGCCACCCTGGAACACCGCTGCCTCGCCACCACGAAGGAGCAGGACCTGAGCCATGCAAACACCCGCTTAGGAAAACCTTTATTAGTGTTAGGAACTGTCTAAAATCCAGTCATTGACACAAGCAGCGTGGGATGTGACCATTATGGACGGCGCACACACACACACACCCCCCAGTCTGCCCTTAGAACAGGTTAACAAAAAGAAATGAAAGAACCAAACCTGAACGAGACCTCTCTTCCCTGCAATGGGATAGGGACAAAGAGCTGGGGAGGGAGAAGGAGCAGCTCCTGGTGCCTGGGGATCACCCATGCAGAGGGAATGCTAGGAGCAGCATCACATCCCCTTGCTCTGCCTGGCTGCGGGCTCCTGCAACACCTCTAACTGCACCAACAGCAAGGCTTACTGGAAGGAGGAACTGAGTTATTTGCGGCCCAGGAAGGAGGGAGGAAAGTGTGTGGCTTCCCTGCCCAGCTTCAGCTCTCTCCCTCAAGAGGTCTGAAAGAAAACACTGAAAGCTTGGGAAAACGTGACACCGAAACACCCACAGCATTAACTCGAGTGGCCCCCGTCACAGACGCTCGCCTATGCCTAAAACAGAGGGTGGGGACAAAGACAAGATGCTCAGCGTGGCGCCAGCAAGCACCAAGGAGCCAGTTTGCTGCTTCCAGACCTGTCCACATCAGCGCAAGAGGGGACTGGTGAGGGAGGGTGTCACCAGGGGGTGTGGGGCAGGGAGGGGAGGTGACAGCAACAACTTTGTCTGCACTTGGGGTGAGTTTCTTCCTACGCTGTCAGTCACTGCGGGGAACGAACAGGAGCTGCTCAGTGACAGCCCAGACAAGAGGAGAAGAACAGCCTGGTTGGGGGGGGAGATGCAGCACAAGACCCCGGGTGGGGGGGACCCATGCACAGCCCTGGCTGGGATGGTGGGTGCAAGCACAGCACTCAGCACCCTCCCTGTGCCGGACCAATCCTGCAGCACTCATACGGCATCACCCAAGGCTGGAGGTGGGGTAGGACACCAGAGACTGAGATCTGCTCTCCAGGACCATCAGCACACATCCCTCAGGCCAGTAGGAGCTCGCAGCTCCCCCCACTACCTTCCACCTACCCTGCACACTCACTGCTAAAAACCTTCCCCAGCCCATGCGTGATTCCTATAGGAGCAAACCCAGAAATCAGGTTTTGACCTTGGGGGCAGTGCTCCCCCCTCCCAGAGTCAGAGCTGAGCTGCCCTCCTGCCTGCTTGGGCTAGGAGTACAGCATGGCAGAGGGGGGCACACGATGCTGTGCATCCCCACACCGCATGGGCACCGGTTTCAGGGTTCCTGGGGACAGGGGAAGAGGTGGGGGAAGCAGAGCGTGGCTGCTCCCAAGGCTGGGCAAAGGGCTGCTGCTGGCCCCCAGCTCGGCGCCTGGCACAAAGCCACAGGGTATTTTTATCCTGGCATCTGTGTTGGTTGAAGCTGTCAGCTCCTCTTGCTTTAAACACAGCCCTGCCCTGTCCCACCCTGGCTCATAGGACACCAACACACCCTGAAGCTGGCCCCTGGCACAGAGTCCCAGCACCTCCAGTATAGCCCAGGGGAAGCCTGGCAGCGTGTGAGGCCCAGGCCATGCTCCCCAGATCCACTATTGCTCTGGGAATAGCTGCACTGGCCACCTCTGCCCCCCTCCCAGGCCTGCTGCCCAGACAGGGGTGCCTGAGGGATTCAGGGCTGGACATTCCAGTAATTGCAATGGGATCTGGGATCTGCCCATCTTTATTCCACAGCTGCCCTAAGACAGGGAGAACGTGGCTCCCAACCAGCTCCTCAGACCACTTGTTTGGTGCTCGGAACAGTTAAGTCTGCCCCACGGCACAAAACAAGCCAAGCCTGGTGGGAAGTCTCATTCCTTAAAAAGAAGGGATTAGAACAATGACTCAAGCTTGGTAACTGCTCTCGCCCTCCTCCCTGGCTACAAACGAGGCCAAAACTCACCCTGGTGCAGAAATCAGGTTTGAAGTTCAGCCAATTCGTGTGGCTAATGCCAGCCCCAACCCCTTTGTGCAGAGGTGTGTGTGACAAAGGCAGCTCAGCTCCCTTGGCAGAGCTGTCACTGCAGAGCCCTGTGACAGCTCTGCGGGGCTGAACCTGGCTCCTGAAGGCCAGGGTGAGCTTGGAGCAGGATCCTGGAGGAACAGCTCCAGGTAGGGGCTGCCCCAGGATGCATTTGGTGACAGAAGTAGGGGTATTGCTTGGCCTGAGAGGACTGGAGTGTAGACAAAAGGAGCTGGCTTGACTCAAAACAGGCTGGAGCAGCTTCTCAGCAGGCCGAAGGCAGCGAGTTGCTCTCTACCTTCAGTCCTTTGCTGGCCAGGAAGGCATCCTGCTTAGGCTCACGGCCCAGGAACTTCTTCAACATGTCAGAAGCATCCAGGGAACCGCCAGGATGCAGGATGCAATTCCTGTAATCCATACCCACCTGCAAGCAGAGAGAGACAGGGGGACGTGTTAAGACACCCACTGATGCTGCCACCTCCCTCGACCACACTGGTTGCCTGTGTGGGACATCCTCCTACCTTACAGTTCATGATCCCCTCCTGCTTGAAGCGTGTGTGGAACATATCCATGGAGTACACTTCACTCCAGAGGTAGCCGTAGTACTGGGCGTCGTAGCCTCCGGCCAGGTGGCCAAACGTAGCAGGCATGTTTGTACCTTTGTGCAAAGGATGGGAAGGGGAGTTAACAGGAAAGGCTCCTGGAGCTGCTCACAGCATGGAAAACCCCATCCATAGTGTAAGTATGTCAGAGCAGACACTGGGTCAGCTTGCTGACAATCCCAGAGGAAACAGGGAAGCACTCTCCAGCTATTTTTGTATCGTTTCAGCCCTGCTTTTCCTGGAGCCAGCAGAAGCTGCCTCTACTGAGCCAGCCTGAAGCCCAAGCCTTGAAAACCTGATGAGCCAAGCTTGCAGGTGGGCATGGATTACAGAACCCCAAGCCCTTGTGTACCTGGGGTAGCAGGGACGCCCAGCACCTCTTCACATAGACCAGCAAACACCTCCACCGGGTCAGCCTTCGTCTGGGTGTGCAGTGCCTGGTCCACCTTGGCCAGCACGATCTGACGCAAGTTGAAGAGCCCTGTTTCCAGAAGGAGGAGGCAAAATGAGCTGCTTCCTGCAGGCAGGAGCATCTCCGAGGCTGGGTCTCAGCAGTGCAGGCTGGGGGCCTCCCATAGTTCTGCTCACACCCAACTTCTGACCCCTCTCCCCCATCCTGGTTCAGCAGCACCCATCCCTTAGGTCCCTAGGGCATCATGGTGAGCAAATCAAAGCCTTTCCTCTACTTGGCCAGCTCACTAAGAGTCTCCTCCACCCCACACTCAAGGGAACACCACAGCAAGGCTCTGCCCTTGCTGGGGACAGCACAAGGCCCTTGTTCCCTCCAGCCCCTCTGCAGGGACCAACCTGTGTTTGCCTGCCGGGATTTAATGAGCTTCTCCAGCAGCTCGTCAGGGATGGGGCTTCCAGTTTTGTAGTGCCTGGACATGCGCAGCAGTGGCTCCTTCTCCCACACCCAGTTCTCCAGCATCTGTGATGGTGCCTCAACAAAGTCCCGCTCCACATGTGTCCCACTGAACATGGCAAACTCCGCCTAGGAGACGCAGCAAGCTGAGCGGGATGTCATTTAACCCCCTCCAGAGAGCATGACAGGGGGAAAGGCAACAAACCAGCCCCTCTGCCAGCCCAGCCAGGCCTCACCTGAGAGCACAGCTGGTGCATGACATGCCCGAACTCATGGAAATATGTCTCCACTTCATCGTGCTGCAGCAGGGAAGGTGCATCCGGTGTGGGCTTGGTGAAATTAGCCACCATGGCAGCCACTGAGATCTGCCGGCTGGAGTCTGGCAGGAGGCAGCCTGGCTGCAGGCCAAAGCAGGCTGCGTGCCCGTATTTGCCTTCCCTAGGGCAGGAAGAGGAGACTGTTATACAGATCACCCCCAAGGCCATCCATGAACCACCACCATCCTGCTCAGAGCAAAAGCTCCCTGGTGACCCTCTGCTCTGCCCTGCCTGAGCAGACTCCACTCCCACCGCACGGCCCCACGTCTGGCAGTGGGTCAGCCTCTTCCCCAGGTGCATGGCAGGCCCTCTTCCCCATGCCCTATCCCTCCTCTCTTGCCTCACCTTGCCCAAGGCCTCACCTTGGGTACAGGTCCAGGTAGAATTTGCCAATGATCTCCCCAGAGGAGGCGTCTTTCACCGTGTAGAGCTGGACGTCTTCATGCCAGACCTGAGCTTTCTCTTCCAGATGGAAGGTGAGGCCCAGCAGCTCCTGGTAAATGGCCAGCAGGCCTGTGGTGACCACCTGCATGGGGAAGTACTCCTTCAGCAGATTCTGGTCCACACTGTACTTGGTCTCCTCCACCTGGTTCATGTAATAGCGCATGTCCCAGGCATTGATGCGGTTGTCAAACTCCAGGCCACGCTTCTCACACTCCTTCTTTTTCAGGTCCAGGATCACAGCCCGCTCCTTCTCCCCAAGGGGTTTCAGCTTCTGAGCCAGCTCATCTAGGAAAACCAAGGCAGGCAGGGTTAGTGCCCAGGGCTGAGAGCAGCAGAGCTGGCTCAACACACGGCCCAGCTCTTGGCTCCACAGCCCAGTGCCGTACCCAGGAACGAAGCCACTATCTTGCTGCTTTTAGCCATGTTCATCTCCAGCACAAAGTCTGCGTGCGTGTTGAAGCCCAGCAGACTGGCTTTCTGAGCCCGCAAATCCACCAGCTCCTTGAGGATCAAGCAATTCTCCTGCAGGGTAGAGTCAGAGAGGGTAAAGTGAAGCACGAGTCCCAGCGTTGAAAGAAGCACAAATGTCAGACAAGACCCCTTTAGTGTCTGGCCCTGCTGGCAAGCAGCAAGGCCTGCCTACCTCCTTGCACCTGGAGTTGAACATTTCCTCCACCTTCCTCCTTGTCTCGGGCACATAGCACTTCTTCAGGAGAGGGAAATAGTGTGGGTATTTCAAGGTGACTTTCAGCTTGCCATCCTCTGTTTTCTCCAGGGAGTTCAGGAAGTCCTCAGGGAGGCCTCCTGAGAAGAGCAGACAAGACTGATGGAGAGCCCAGGCCTCTC